TGTGTATGCCCTGAATTAGAGCCCTCACAGTTGTCCCTATTTTTTCATTGATGACCTTCATACTTTTGAGATTCACATTTAGGTCTTTAATTCATGTTGAGTTGGGTTTTGTATAGGGCCTGAGGTAATGGTCTTGTTTCAGTCTTTTGCATATCACTTTCCAGTTCTGCCAGCACCATCTGTTAAAGAGACTGTCATCTCTCCATGCAATGTACTTAAGTACTTTCTTGAAAATCAGTTGGCTGTATGTGGATGGGTTAATTTCTGGATTATCGATTCTATTCCATTGATCAATGTATCTTTCATTGTGCCAGTAGCTGTTTTGACCACTGTAGCCATGTAGTAAAATTTAAAATCAGGGAGTGAGAGGTTTCCAACCTTGTTCTTTTTCTTAAACCATGCTTTGCTTATTCTGGGTCTCTCTTCTTTCCATATAAAGTTTGTAATTGTTTTTCCCATCTCTTTGAAGAATGTCATTGGAATCTGTATTGGGATTGCATTATATGTGTAAATTGCTTTGGGCAGTATTGACGTTTTCACAATATTGTCTTTCTATCCAGGAGCATGGTATATTCTTCTTCTTTTGTAAGTCTCTTTTGGTTTCTTGTAGTAGTGTTTTGTAGTTTTCTTTGTATCGGTTCATTTCTCTGGTTACATTTATTCCTGGATATTTCATCTTTGTGTGGCTGTTGTAAATGGTATTGCTTTCCTAATGTCCTTTTTAGTGCTGTCATTGTTACTATAGAGGAATCCAACTGATTTTTGTATGTTGATCTTATATCCTGCCACTTTGCTGAATCTTCCAATGAGGGCTAGCAGCTTTTTTTCAACTGAGTCTTTGGGGTTTTCTATGTATAGGCTCATATCATCTGAAAATAGAGAGAGTTTTATTTCCTCTTTGCCAATTTAGATCCCTTTAATTTCCCTGTCTTTCCATATAGCTCTGGCTAAGACTTCCAAAGCAGTATTGAATAAGAGTGGTGACAAAGAGCATCCTTGTCTGGTTCCCGTTTGCAGAGGGAAGGCTTTCAGTTTCTCTCCATTGAGAATAATGTAGGCTGTTGGTTTTGTATACATGGTTTTAATTATGTTGAGGATTTTCCTTTGATTCCTACTTTGTCGAGTGTTTTTATCAGGAATGGATGTTGGATTTTGTCCAATGTCTTTTCTGCATCGATTGATATGATCCTGTGGTTCCTTTCCTTTTTGTTTTTTATATGGTGAATTACATTGATTGTTTTTCTAATGTTGAACCATCCTTGTATCCCTGTTGTAAAACCCACCTGGTCATGATGTATTATTATTATTATTATTGTTGTTGTTGATGTGCTGCTGGATTCTGTTGGCTAGGATTTTGTTGAGAATTTTGCATCTATGTTCATGAGGGATATTGGTCTGCAATTTTCTTTCTTAGTGATGACCTTCCCTGGTTTTGGTTTGAGGGTTATGCTTGCTTCATAAAATGTATTAGGGAGTTTTCCATCCTCTTCTACATTCTGGAATAATTTGAGTAGGATTGGTGACAGCTCTTCCCTGAATGTTTGGTAGAATTCACCAGTGAAGCCATCTGGGCCTGGACCTCTTTTGGTCGGGAGTTTTTTGATGCCTAGGTCTACCTTTTGATCCAGAGTCCTGGTGTGGCACTGTGGGTTAATGTGTTGGACTGCAATGTTGGTTTGAACTGCAAGGTTGGTGATTCAATCTCACCAGCTGCTCCTTGGAAATCCTGTACAGGGTCAATATGAGTTGAAATCAATTCAATGGCACTTAACAAAAAAAGCCTTTGCTTCTTACTGCCCAGTGGCACTATAAGTTAAGTACCAGACTGATAACCACAAGGTCAGAGGTTCAAAACCACCAGTCACTTCTCAGAAATCCTATACAGTGCCGTTATGAGTCGGAACTGACTCAATGGCACTCAACAACAACAGCAAGCAATTCTATGCTGAGCTCATCTGACGGTTGTAGTTACTGATCATCATAAGGAGGGAGAATTTAATTAAGTTATTGTCTTAGTTCCCTACTCTGTAATGACAAGCTACCACAAAATGGGGCTTTCAATCAGAGGACTTAGAGTTTTGGAGATGAGAAGTCCCAGTGGAGGTGGGCTTTTGGGGGAGGAGCCTTCCTGGTGAGAAGACACTGGCATCTTTGGTCTTCCTTCAGATGTGAGTGAATCCTGGCTGAGTGTTTGCTCTCTTTATAAAGCACCGCTCAGAAGTGATTAGCTGTAATACGTACCCCACTCTGATGTGGTCTCATTAAATTAATAACCAAGGAAAAGCCTTCTCCCAAAACAGGTGCAGGGTTAGGACTTCACATAACTTGTTGGGGGCTACCATTCAACTCACAACAGATGTGTAGGGTGAGTCTCAATTAGAAAAATACATCCTCATTCCTGTTGTAGAAAGTGGATGCAGCTGAGGTGAAGCCCTGGGAGCTGGTGCTCTGAGCAGCTTCTGCCTCTGCCTGGGCCACGACCAACAACACTCTGAAGACATGTGGTTATGACCCAGGATGCACAAATGATGACTGCTTTCCATTCTTCTCTTCCTTGTTACTACAGAATTTCACACCAAATCTTTGGGAAAGAAGGCAAAAAAAAAAAAAAAAAATTAACTCATTTCTTTTAATGCAAAAGTGTATCTAGCCTTCTTTGCAACCATGGTGGCTTTTAGATGTCATTGAGTCTGTTCCAACCCAGAGCTGCCCACGTGTAGCAGAGTGAAAAACGCCATCCAGTCCAGCACCATTCTCACACTTGTTAGGTTTGAGCCCATTGCTGCTGCTACTGTGTCAGTCCATCTCATCGAGGGGCTTCCTTCCTTTTTGTTTGACCGCCCTCTTTACCAAACATGACATCTTTCTCCAGGGACTGGTCCCTCCTGATAATATGTCCAAATTATGTCAGCTAAGTCTCATCATGTCACTTCTAAGGAACATTCTGAAAATATTTCTTCCAAGACAGAGTTGTGTGTTCTTCTGGCAATCCATAGGATACTCCAATAAAGCATTTTGTAACCATTAGCTAGTTAGATATGGGACCAGGGAGGGGACAGTCTCTGGGAAGGGCATCATGCTTGGAAAAGTCAGTGGAAATGAGGAAGACCCCCAGTGAGATGGACTGACAGAACCACAGCAACAATGGGCTCAGACGTAACAGCAATTGTGAGGTCGGCAAAGGACCAGGCAGTATTTCCCTCTGTTGTGCACAATGTCACTAGGAGCTGAAGCAGACTCAGAGGCTCCTAACAACAACCACAAGAGCAACAACAGATGTTTATAGTTGCAGTCAAACACCATGATGCCTACCTAGCATTCAGTTTCACTTTTTTGAATGAACTTAAGTCAGGAAAGACACCATTGGGCCGCTAGGTCAGTTTAAACCTCAAGGCTGATGGTTCAAACTCACCAGTAGCTCCTCAGAAACTCTATATAGCATAGCTATGAGTAGGAACTGACTTGAAGGAGCTTAACTACTACTAACCTGAGTCTGATGGTGAATCCAGAGCCCGGGTGGTGCTGTAGGATCAGTACTGGACTGCTAACTACAAGATCAGTGGTTCAAACCCACCAGCTGTTCCACACCACAGTGCCACTGTAAGTCGGAACCAACTCGACGACACTTAACAACAACAAAAATGAACCAGAGGAGTTTTGCAGGTGCATTAGTTAAGCGCTCAGCTGTTAATCCATAGTCCGGTGGTTTCAACCCCCCAGCTGCTATGAGGGAGAAAGATGTGGCAGTGGGCTTCCACAAAGATGACAGCCTTGGAGACCCTGGGGGGCAGTTCTGTTGTCAAGTGCCATGAAGTTGGCTCTGACTCCCAGAGGCCCCATGCCCAACAGAACAAAACACATTCCTTGTTATGTTTGAGCCCATGGTGCGTTGACCTGTTGGGTCACTAGGAGTCAGAGTCGACAAGACAGTGAGGGGTAACTTGTAAACCCATGAATAAGACCCTTCCCGGGGGCTATGCCTGGGCTTGCTTCTCACCCAGTATATGGAGGATGCTTGTGAAGTGTGACTGCATTTTCTTACAGGTACACACTGATCCCCACCTCCATCCTGCTCGGACTGGGCGGTGCCCCACTGTGGTCTTCACAATGTACATACATCACCATTCTGGGGAATACGAGTGCCCAGAAGACGGGGAAAGCCAGCAAGGATGTGGTGAACCAGTTCTTTGGCATCTTCTTTCTCATCTTCCAGTCGTCCGGCGTGTGGGGCAATTTGATTTCGTCTCTGATTCTTGGCCAGACTCCCACCCAAAGTAAGAGACAGGGGGCACAGGCAGGCATCAAAGTGGGGCTGGGATTTCAGGGGGACTGCTGACCAAGGCATTCTAAGGACTCAGTATAAGGATAGCTCCTTATTCTGTGGGGTTCCTGGTTGGTGTGAACGGGCAGCACACTTGGCTGCAAACCGAAATGTTGCTATTTCAAGTTCACCCAGCAGTGCTTTGGAAGAAAGACCTGGAGGTCTAGTTCCCAAGCTGAAAATGGGGCGGAGCACACAGGGAGCTGGTCTTATTCTCAGCGCAGGTAGCCAAGGCCATCCCTATGGAGGTGGATCTCACCTATCTTTGTTCAGAGGCCCCTGATGCCAGGGCCCTCACCTCCACCATTGCATTGGACCTGTGACAGGGGCCTGTGTGCCAGCGCTGTTTGAATCATGGCTACCCTCATAGACTCTGAGAACTGGAGCAGCTGATGTATTATCCCACTGCACTCAGGTTTAAGGCCACTGATCCCTGAAGATCTCGGTTGGCTGACCTTGCCCAGGCACGAGGTAGCACCATGCCATGCCTGTCTGAGCGTGCATGCTTTAATGTCTGTGTTGAGGATTCCAACCACAAGCATAGGAAATAAACCTTTCCCTGCTTTCCAGAAGCCATCCCCAATGGAGGGAAATTCCTAACGCACTGACCGTTACCAGCCTTGTCCCTGTCTGCCTTATGGCTTCCATCTTGCTATCCCATACAAAATGCCTCCTTTGGGAACTCTGTAATCAAATTTTCTCCCATTTGCTCCTGTGATATAGTTGTTGTTGTTGTTGTTGTTGTTTTTATGTGCCACTGAGTCACTACCGACTCATAGTGACCCTATGCACAACAGAACGAAACCCTACCCATGACAACCTCACAATCATTGCTACGTTTGAACCCACTGCTGCTGCCACTGAGCCAATCCATCTAGTTGGGGGTCTTCCTCTTTTTCTAGGACCTTCCACTTTACCAAACATGATGTCCTTCTCCAAGGACTGGTCCCTCCTGACAGTTTGCCCTAAGTATGAGTAGATGAAGTCTGGCCATCCTGGCTTCCAACGTGCATTCTGACTATAGTTGATTTGTTCTTTTGGCAGTCCTCAAACACCATAACTCAAATGCACCAATTATTCTATGGTCTTCCTTATTCACTGTTCAACATTTGCATGCATATGAGATTATTGAAAAAATACCATGGCTTGGGTCAGGTGCACCTTAGTCCTTTGACATCTTTGCTCTTCAGCGCATTAAAGAGGTTTTGTGCAGCAGATTTTTCTAATGCAATATGTTGTTTGATTTCTTGACTGCTACTTCCATGAATGTGGAAGGTTGATCTTAGAAAAATAAGTCTTTGACAACTTCAGTCTTTTGTCCATTTGTATGGATGTTGCTTATTGGTCCAGTGGTGAGTTTTGTTTTCTTTACATTGAGATGAAGTCCATATGGAAGGCTTTGCTTTTTGATCTTCATCAATAGGTATCTTAAGTCCTCTACACTTTCAGCAAGCAAAGTTGTATCATCTACATATCACAGGTTGTTAATGAGTCTTCCTTCAATCCTGATGCCACATTTTTCTTTTATCTAATCCAGATACTTGGATTATTTTCTCAGCATACAGACTGAATAAGTATGGTGAAAAGATACAACCTTGTCACACACCTTTCCTAACTTTAAACCATTTGGTGTTCCCTTGTTTTGTTCAAACAACTGCCTTTTGGTCCAGGTACAGATTCCACATGAGCATAACTAAGTGTTCAGGAAAACTCATACTTCGCAAAGTTGTCCATAGCTTGTCATGATCCACACAATCGAATGACTTTGCATAGTCAATAAAGCACAGGTAAACATCTTTCTGGTATTCTCTGCTTTCAGCCAACATCCATTTGACATCGACAATGGTATCCATAACCTCTTCTGAATACAGCTTGAATCTCTGACATTTCTTTGTAAATGTACATTTTTAGCCATTTTTGGATTATCTTTAGCAAAATTTTACTTGTGTGAGATATTAATGACATTGTCCGATGACTCCTGCATTCCTTTGGGTCACCTCTCTTTAGAATGGGCACAAATATCAGTGTCTTCCAGTCAGTTGGCGAGGGAACTGTCTTCCAAATTTCTTGGCATAGTTGAGTGAGTGCCTCCAGTGATGAATCAGTTTGTTGAAAGATTTCCATTTGTATTCCATCAATTCCCAGTGCCTTGTTCTTTGCCAATTCCTTCAATGCACCTTGACTTCTTCCTTCAGTACCATTGGCTCTTCGTCATGTGCTATGTATGTCTTGAAATGGTTTAGCATCAGCCATCTCTTTCTGATACAGTGGCTCTGTATATTTATTCCATCTTCTTTTGATGCTTTCTGCATCATTCAATATTTTGCCCACTGTTGTTGTTGTTGTCAGGTGCCATCGAGTTGGAACTGACTCATAGCGACCCCATGCACAGTAGAACGAAACAATGTCTTATCCTGAGCCAACCTCACTACCGCTGCCACACTTGACACCATCAATGATGTTACCTGGCTGATCCATCTCATTGGGAGTCTTCCTCTTTTTCTCTGACCCTCCGTCTTACCCAGCATGACATCCTTCTCCAGTGGCTGTTCCCTCCTGACAATATGTCCAAAGTATGAGAGACGAAGCTTAGCCATCCTGGCCTCCAAGGAGCACTCTAGCTGCACTTCTTCCAAAACAGATCTATTGGTTCTTTTGGCAGTCCGTGGCACTTTTAGTATTCTCCTCCAACACCACAACTCAAAGGCATCAATTCTTCTACAATCTTCCTTATTCACTGTCCAGCTTTCCCATCCATATGAGGTTATTGAAAATACCATAGCATGGATCAGGCGCACCTTAGTCCTCAAGCTAACATCTCTGCTCTTCAACACTTTAAAAAGTTCCTGTGCAGCAGATTTGCCCAATGCAATACGTTGTCTGATATCTTGACTACTGCTTCCACGAGTGTTGATAGTTGATCCAAGAAGAATGAAGTAGAATCCTTCAATATTTCAAGAGAAGGCTTGAATATTTTCTTCAGTTCCCTCAGCTTGAGAAATGCTGAGTGTGTTCTTCTCTTTTGGTTTACTGACTTCAGGTCTTTGTACATTTTGTTGTGGTATTTGACTTTGTCTTCTCAAGCTCCTCTGGGATATTTTCTATTCAGCTCTTTTACCTCTTCATTTCTTCCATTTGCTTTAGCATCTCTATGCTGGAGAGCAAGTTTCAGAGTCTCTTCAAACATCTATTTTGGTCTTTTCCTTCTTTCTTGTCTTTTTAGGGACCTTCATTTTGTTTCTGTATGATGTTCTTAATGTCATCCCACAAATTTTCTGGTCTTTGGTCTTTAGTGTCTATTGCATCAAATTTGTTCTTCAGATGATCTCTAAATTTAGATGGGATATGTTCAAGGTCATATTTTGGCTATCCTAGACTTGTATAAATTTTCTTAAGCTTCAGCTTGAACTTGCATATGAGCAATTGATGGTCTGCCCCTTGCCTTGTTTGGGCTGGTGATAAGGAGCTTTTCCACCATCTCTTTCCACAGATGTAGTCAATTTGATTTCTGTGTGCTCCATCTGGTGAGATCCATGTGTATAGTCATCTTTTAAGTTGTTTATAAAAGTTTTTTGCAGTGAAGAAGTCATTGGTCTTGCAAAATTCTATCATGAGATCTCCAACATGATTTCTATCACCAAGTCCATGTTTTCCAACTATTGATCCTTCCTCTTTGTTTCCGGTCTTTGCATTTCGATCACCAGTAATTATCAATGCATCTTGATTGGATATTTGATCAATTTTAGACTGAAGAAGTTGATAGAGTTTCTCAGGTTCAGCATCACTGGTTTTTGTGGTTGGTGCATAAATGTTAATAATTTGAATAATAATAATGGTATTAACTGGTCTTCCTTGTAGGTATCTGAATATTTTCCTATCACAGACATTATTGTACATCAAGACAGATCTTGATATGTTCTTCTTGATGATGAATATGATGTCATTCCTCTTCAATTTATAGTTCCTGACACAGCAAACCATGTGATCGCCATATTCAAAATGTCCAGTGACAGTCCACTTCAGCTCACTAATGCCTATGATATTGATGTTTATGGATTCCGTTTCATTTTTACAATATGCAAGTTTTTCTAGAATCATACTTCATATATTCTGTGCTCTGATTATTAATGGGTGTTTATAGCAAATGAGGGTCCCAAAGGCTTTACTCCATTTGCTTCATCACGATCAACTCTACTTTGATGAGGCAGCCCTTCCCCAGTCATATTTTGAGTGCCTTCCAACCTGAGGGGCTCATCTTCTGACACTATATGTGATAATATTCTGGTGCTCTTCATTATGTGCAATAATCAATATTCTGTTGCTATCTGGCAGTGTTCCACTGCTATTCCTAAGGTTTTCAGTGATTAAATATTCAAAAATAGTCTATCTCTCCTTCTTCCTAGTCTGTCTTCATCTGGAAACTCATCTGAAACGTGCCCACCATGGGTGACCCTGCTTGTATTGGAAATACCCATGACATAGCTTCTAGAATCACAGTAACAGGCAGGCCACCACAGTACGACATCATACTGCTAGTCAACATCAACTAACCAACAGCCACCCTTCACAGGGTCGCTATGAGTCACAATTAACTCACAGGCACTTCACAACAACATTTCTGTTATAAAAGTAACTGGATAATTTTTTCAGTGTTTGAATCCATTCTTGCTTCAACTTTGTTAATCTGTCTAGTTGGGGGTCTTCCTTTTTTCCCCCACTAATCATCCACTACCAAATATGATGTCCTTCTTCAGGGACTGGTCCCTTCAGACAACATGTCCCAAGTAAGAGAGACATAGTTTTGTCGTTCTCACTTCTAAGGAGCATTCTGAGTGAACTTTTCCAAGATAACTTTGTTTGCTCTTCTGGCGTTTTGTATTGGGTCTCTCTACTGACAGTATCACAGAAATAACACAAATCAAGTGGATGACTTCAACAACCAGAAATTTCTTCTCACATAGTTTAGGAGGCTTCTAGAAGTCCAAATTCAGAGTGCCTGTTCTTGGAGGAGACATGCTTTTGGTTGGCTCTGGAGAGAGGTCCCTTTCTCCTCTCTGCATCTGTAGACCCAGCATTCCTTGGGACTTCCATGTGTCCTGGCATTAATCCTAGATCCTCTGGATCTAGGAGCTTCACAGCGCAGGGATCCCCAGTCCAAGGACACACTCTACTCCTGGCTCTTCTATCTTGGTGATAGTAGATCCCTCTTTCTTTGCTCAAATCTGCCTCCTTTTATCTTCTCCTTTGAGAAGGTGTTGCGTGCCTCAACCTTGGGAATCTACCTTAAGTCAAACCAGGGAAATGGTGAATTAAGGGTAGTGAACCCCACCCTTGATCCTTTAGCTGATTTATCATATCAAATCCTATTGTGGGGTAGCTACCTCTCAACCACCAAACCTCTGGGAATCTTGGCCCAGTCAAGTGGACACAAAAGCTAACTATCATACATCCCATGGGGTTTTCGGTATCCTTCCCCAGCACCATATTTCAAGTGTATCGGTTCTTCTGCAGGTTTTCTTATTCCCTGTCAAACGTTAACATGCATTTGGTGTTACTGTTGTCATGTTAAATCAGTTGTGCGTACAGCAGCCCTGTATGGGATTTCTGAGGTGGGTTTGAACTGCTGATCTTGCAGGTAGCAGCCCATTGCTTGTTCTAAAGCGCCACATCCATTTCACACGCACATGAGGCAATTGAAGATGTCATGGCTTGGGTCAGGTGCACCTTAGTCCTTAAAGTGGTATATTTGTTCTTTAACACTTTAAAGAGGTCTCTTGAGTTGACATGTGTTGTTGTTGTTGCTGTTCTGAAATGCCTTCAATTTGGGTCCAACTCAATGACCCCCTATAGGGTTTCTGAGGAGTGGCTGGTGAGTTTGAACTGCAGATCTTGAGGTTCAACTTGACCTTGTGGTTGAGTGTGTATCCTATGGCCCCACACCAGGACTCTGAGTTGACATTTATTCCACTTTTGCTCAGAGTCATTGCATTCTCTACCCCAAGCCAGAGTGGCTTCAATTCAGATGCAGCACAAACCCCCTTCCCATTCACCCTTATAGTATTTGTTGTCTCCACAGACATCATTCCGGAGGACCAGCTCCTCCTCTGTGGGGCCCGTGACTGCCAGATGGGTGGCTCATTCAGCAACAGCACCCAGCGTCCATCCCAAGAACTCATCTACACACTGGTGGGCATTTACACAGGTATGTGCCATCCTGACCCTGTGCCCATTGAAGTAGAATCCCCACATAGCAAAACAAAAAGCTACTAATAGAAAAGTTGGAGCTTCAAACTCACCCAGATGAGGCTTCGAATAAATGCCTAGTGATCTACCTGATGTGTATGCAAATATCTTGCACATTGTACTTTGCTTGTGTGGTGAACTGCACACCCATTGGTTCCTTGTGAGTGCTATGTGCCTTATGTGCACATTAATTATGTGGCATGTTACATACAAAATAACAACCATAGTAACTGCAGTCCTTATAAAGACTGCCCACTGCAAACCCCACAGAGCACTTCCACTTTGAAGCGCAGGGGTCTCTGGGAGTTGGAGTTGATTTGGGAACAACTGATTGGCTCGAGGTCCTTGAGTGATGTCAATGGCTCATGCTAAATTAGGAAACAGGAAGAGGGGAAAACAACAGCAGTGTTGTAGAGTCAACTCTGACTCGTGGCGACCCCGTGTGCTAGACAGAACTGAACTACAGGGTTTCCTTTATGCATGCAGATCTCCAGACTTTGCTCCCCTGGAGCCACATGGTGGGCTTCAGACCACCACCCCCTTGACTAGCAGTCAAGCATGGACCATTGATGAAATGAGGACCAACTGAAATCATGGAGTGGGACAAAGGGGAAGGAACCCAGGCTTCACACAGCATTTCAGCAACTTGATGAAAATATTGCATCATCATGAATTGGAAGGAGTACGTGTGTAGTCAAAGAGAACATTGCTCATGGACGGGAGATAAATTTGGGGAGTAACTAAGTGCCCATCTGGGTGTAAAGTTGTTAACAGTGGGAACCCTCTGGGTTTGTCATGTGTAGGGTGGACAGATGACTGGCTGTGAGGCCTACGGAACTGTGCCAGGCAGCCACGTGATGAGGTCACACAAAGGAATTAGATCCACAAAGAGCTAAAGCAACCCCAGTCACCTTTAAGGCATGTCAGGGCTTGCTCAGGGCATGCAATCTGTCGTTAGAAACAATGCTGGAGGTTCTAACCATCCTCACTGCTTGTGAGTGAATCTGTGGGGCCCAAACTCCTTGTACTGATGCCTGGCAGAAGACAACAGGGGAGGTACACAAATCCTAGTCACCCCGTAGGACCGAGCAGAAAGCCTGGAGGGCTTCTAAAGCTGTCATCTTCACAGGGCAGATCTCTGGGTCTTTCTTCCTCAGGGCAGTTGGTGGGTTCGACCTGCCAACCATTCAGTTAGCAACCAAGTGCATTACTACGGAACCACGAGGGCTCCTTAATGGCATCACCAAAGGACCTGAGAATCAGAAAAGGAATCAAAGGTTTCCATCTAGAAACCACTACTCAGCTATCAGTGAGTGCCACTGTGGGAGCTTGGGTATGGCTGTGATGTTGGGTATGGCTGTGATGCCACCGGGGTTTCAAACACCAACAAAGTCATACATGGTGGACAGGTCTCAGCAGAGCTTCCAAACTAAGAGAGATGAGGAAGAAAGGCCTGGAGATCCACTTCTGAAAACCAACCCATGAAGACCCTGTGGTTCACACAGAACGTTGTCTGATACAGAGTTGAAAGATGAGCCCCTTAGGTAGGAAGACACTCAAAACACACAGTGATTGCAAAAAGCTACTTGAGCATACCAGCGATTGTGAAGAGGGTGCAGGGCCTGGTCTGTTGCGCATGGGGTCACCATGAGTTGACAGCAACTGGTAACAACATGAAGAGAAGTGAAGGAACAGGTATTAGTGCTCATTCTAGAGGAAGGGACCCACCGTGTCCATAGAGAAGACACTGACTTAGAGCGACCTTGCAGAACACAGTAGAGTTTCTCCAGAGTCTTCCCAAGCCTGGAAATCTCTATGGCACCAGACAGCCTCCTCGCTCTCCCACAAAGGAGGGAGCACTAGTGCTGTGTTAAGTTTCGTAACAACGAAAGTTAGGGGTGTCCATTCAAGAGTGAAAGGAATAGTTTTTCTTTCTCCTTAGTTTCTTAATAACCTATTTTCAGGGTTCAAATGAATATATTGTGAAAAGGACATGGAGAAAAAGTTCTCCATCCTGCTGTCTCTTGGGAAACTCATCCTTTCCTCTCCACAGATACCTTGTGCCTTCTGCATTTCCTGGGTATGAATTAGGAGGTGTTGAGTGCGCTTCTACACAAATGTATCTTTGTAGCCCTCCTTCTTAAAACCAAGTGAAGACTCGTGAGAAACACTGCTCTGTACCTTGTTTTACTCAGTCATTATCTGGAATGGAAACGCTTTTCCTTTTAGCATAGCATTTTCCTTTTCTCAAATGCACAATACCTGATTGCAGGTGAGACATTCCATGAGATGTTTAACCAGTTCCTACTGACAGACTTTGACATATGTAGGTTTGGAATGAACACGAAATGTTGCACAAGGTGACTTGAAGTGTCCATTGTCCTCAGAAGTGAAACCAGCCACTGGTAGAAAAATTGCTGCAAGAATCAGAATGAAAGAAACAAGGTGATGGTGAAGAATCAGGATGAGAGAATCCCCAGTTGGTGGTAAAGGGCTTTAAGGACGTGTGGTGTCATTTCCTAATTTCTGGTATTTATTCCTCTGAAGACAGCACTGTCCTTTGTTGTTATTGTTAGGTGCCATCAAGTCGGTACCAACTCATAGTGACCTTATGCACAGCAGAACAAAACAATGTCTGATCCTGGGCCAACCTCACTACTGTTGCCCCACTTGAGTCCATCAATGCTGCCACCTGGCCAATCCATCTTGTTGGGGGTGTTCGTATTTTTCTCCGACCCTCCATCTTACCAAACATGATATCCTTCTCCAGTGACTGCTCCCTCCTGACAATATGTCCAAAGTATGAGAGACGAAGTTTGGCCATCTTGGCTTCTAAGGAGCACTCTGGCTGCACTTCTTCCAAAACGAATCCATTGGTTCTTTTGGTATTCTACTCCAACACCGTAACTCAAAAGCATCAATTCTTCTACAGTCTTCCTTATTCACTGTCCAGCTTTCGCATGCATATGAGGTTATTGAAAATACCATGGCTTGGGTCAGGCTCACCTTAGTCCTCAAGCTGATATCTTTGCTTTTCAACACTTTAAAAAGGTACTGTGCATCAGATTTGCCTAATGCAATACGTGATTTGATTTCTTGACTGATGCTTCTGTGAGTGTTGATAGTCGATTCAAGAAGAATGAAGTCCTTGACAACTTCAATCTTTTCTCTGTTGATAAGAATTTTAATGTTAAAGCTGATCGTAGAATAGATATGAAACAGTTGGGGTGTTTGTAGGACCCAGTTGGCACTGGAGTGCATAGACTTTTGTTCACTTGCCTATCTAATGTCATCTTAAATCTGGATTGAAATTAACCCTATTCTGCAAGAGAAGTTGGAGTGCTGGCATAAATACCCATAAAGGACCAAATGCCTTGAACTCCTGTCAGTGTTTGCCAAAAGGGACAGTAACTTCAAATAGACTTGGAGCCCAGGAGTAACGCCGTGCTTCTTTGGGTGGAAAGGCATTTACAGTAGGGTGTGAGTGGATTAGGTCTCCCGCTAACACGGCAATGACTCGCCCTCATCTCCCATTAGGATGTGGTGTACTAGCGGTCCTGCTGATTGCCATATTTTTGGAACCAATAAAAGACCCCCAACAGAAAAGTGAAGGAGAGAAATTGTCTTTATGGTCCAACTTACTGGCGACTTTCAGGCTCCTCAGAGACAAACGCCTCCGTCTTCTTGTCCTGCTGCCCTTGTACAGCGGCTTCCAGCAAGGATTCATGTCTGGAGACTACACAAAGGTATGGGGGCATGGGAAGCCTGCTGGGCTCAAGACTGAGGATGCAGGGATGCTCTGGAACCCCTGCCCGAGGCCAGGGAAGTGGAACAGAAAGCCCACCTGTGATTCTAACTATCAACTTCCCAGGGACTCCCAGAGAACTTGGGTTCTGAGCTCCTATCTCAAGAGATGAATTCTCTCCTGTTGATTATGTTCGGTGAAAAGTGCCCAAGTGTTAACTGGGCATCGCTTCCTGAGTCACCACATAGAGGAGCTGTCTGTGTTGCACCAATGAATCACTTCTGCTAGATTCTTGTGCTAGAGGGAAACATTCAAATTCACAAAGGGCATTGGGTGTCTTCACGCTCTTTCAAATGTGTAGAAAGAAGTGTCTCTCAGCCACGGGTCCTTCGTGAGGACCACCTGCTCCCACATGGTCTTCTTCTCGATCATCTTCCTGGAGCTGGCTCGAGTAGGTCAGCAATGCCTGGTGCCCCAAGTGCTGTTTGAGACCCTCAGAAGCTGCCCAATTGGACCCAGAGCCCTGGACATTTCCACTCCTTCATGCTCTCCTGGGCTCACTATGCGGTAGTCTCCTCTCCTGGAGAAACTTCCTAGATGGCAAGGGAGGGACACCCAAAAGTGAGGCTCTGGTCCCCTGGATGAGAGTGGGAATCTGTCTTGCAGAGAGTTCTGGGGTGAGATGTGATACTGTAGGAGCTGACCAGGGGCTCAGAGGTACCAGCAAGGTGGGATTGGTCACCATGCCCCTTTCCCTCTTGGTCTGGTCCACCCTGGTTCAGGCACCTGTCCTGGTCATCTCTCTTCCATCCTCTCTACCACAGTCATGCCACTCCCTCAGGAAGGGCTGCCAGGTTAACTCGATAGAAAGCAGGGCCAGTTCAATGTGAATTTCAGATAAACAAGTAGTTTTAGTGTCCATTTGCCCCATGTACTCCTGGTGTGGTGCTGTAGGATCAGCACTGGACTGTGAACTACAAGGTTGGTAGTTCAAACCCACCAGCTGCTCCTCAGAAACCCTACTCAGGCTCACCCTGAGTCAGAATCGACTCAACGGCACGCAACAAATAACAACAAGGTTTGGCCATTCAATTCTCAGACTTGATGTGACATCTTAGAAGTTCTTGAGTCTGAGCAAAATGAGGAACTTCTGCATGTGGTGTTTCATACAAGTTCTCTCCCATTGGACCTGTCATCAACACCTCAACCTGTGCCATCAGGACATGGTGGGGCCTCAGGGTCCCATGCACTCCCTTCCGGGTCTGTCCTTGACCTGCTTTCTTGGGATGAACATGGCCAGCAGGTCTGATCTGTTCTTCCAGTCCAGGGTACTCAGCCATGAGATGACATGGTCCAAGACACTTCTATTGAGAGCCCTGTGCCCTGGGAGTTAGAGGGTCAGATCGATGTCTCAACTGCTTCTGCTGGTACAGAAACAAAGTTATCGATGCCATTCTCCCACGTGGACTCCGTCTAATGCCTACTCCTCCCCTGCAGTCCTACATTACCTGTGCCCTGGGCATCCAGTTCGTGGGCTACGTGATGATCTGCTTTGCAGGCACCGACGCGTTGTGCTCCGTTCTGTATGGAAGGCTGTCCCAATACACCGGGCGTATTGCCATCTTCTCAGTAGGTAGGTGGGCATGGCCAGGTCAGCCTGAGCGAAGACCAGGAGAGTCAGCATGTCCCGGGCCCCAAGGGTGAGCAGCAGCCTACTCAAGGGTGGACACTGAAGCTGTGACTCCTGCCACATCTGCACATGGTCACAGGAAGGCACACCTTGATGTCCCCACCCCTAAAACCACTGGTCATCTCCCTCTTGGTGGCGGTAGACACGCATGTCCCTGTGGCCTCCATCCCCCATGTGCTATGACAACAAATGTTCATGTGTCCTCACCTAAATGCACCCGATGGTGGTGGATGCTCACCTCCACAGGACTGCAATGTTCACAGGAAGGAGGCCACCTGTGTCCTCACCTAAATACACTCCATGGTGGTGGGTACTCACATCTTCCTCTCCTCCCCAACTCCCCACACACAGGTGCGCTGGTCCACCTGTGACCCCACCTAAGCCTACTCAATGGCAGTGGATACTCAGACCCCCTGACCTCTCCCCCTTTGCAGGAGCACTCATCCACCTGTGTTGCATCATCGCCCTTCTTCTGTGGAAACCGAACCCTGACCAGCTGGCCGTGTTCTTTGTCTTCTCTGCCCTCTGGGGTATGTCGGACGCTGTGTGGCAGACCCAGAACAATGGTGAGTCCAGGCCTGGCCCAGGTAGGAACAGCAGTGACAAGGAGGAGCCCTGAGGGGTGGGGGTGAGCCCCACACAGGGACAGTGGGACTGGGCAGTGGGAGGCCATGAGCTTCTTGGTCTGAGGCTCCCAGTGTGCATTTACTGAGTTCATGATGCCCAAGTCGAGCCCCACTCTTTGAGGTGGGGGCTCCTGCTGTCACGGTCCATGGTCCATGACTGAGCAGAGTCCAGGGGCCCTGACCCAGGCAGGGGACAGAGATGAGTCACAGCTGAAGCTCGGCGGGAGGGGACACTCGGGATGGGGGGCGGGCTCATTGGAGCACCAGGTGGGGCCAGGGTGGCTTCTGCAGAGAGGCAGCTGCAGTCAGACAGGAACCTGAGGTGGGACGATTGTGCAGCAGGGTCAGGGAGTAAGGGCCTCTGCACCACGACCAGGTTCTGGGAGGTGAGCAAAGCAGGCAGTGGGACCCCTTCCAGGGATGGTTTACCTGTGAGGGGTGGGCTTTGTTTATGTTTCTACGATGAGATACTAGGAAACCTACTGCTGTGTGTCCATTCTGAACCACAGCGGCCCTGCAGGACAGAGGAGAATCGCTCCTTAGGGTTTCCGAGGCTGTCATGTTCTCCCATTGCAGTTCTCCTTTCAATGAAACACTGGTTACCGCTAAGTCAGTGCGTCACCAACGGCACCCCTGTAAGATTTTCAATGGATAGTTTTTCAGCAGTAGATCACCAGGTCTTTCTTCTGACACATTTCTGGGCAGGCTCCAGCCTCCAGGCCTTCGGTGAGCAGACGAGCACACTAGTTGTTTGCACCACTCAGAGACTCAGCCATGATTTGTCAGACAGCAGGAGAGAATAGTCTTGAATGGACCTAACTTTAGTGGATTTAAGGAATTGGAGTTTCATCCTTAGTAATGCAGGTGGCCTTTAGTGATGTTCTTTATTCAAATAGGAGCCCTGGTGGTGCAGCTTGTTAAGTGTTGGGCTGTGAACCTCAAGGTCAGGGATTCAAACCCATTAGCAGCTCTGCAGGGGAGACATGAGGCCGTCCGCTCCCGTGAGGGTTGACAGTCTCAGAAACCGTAGAAGCAGTTCTCCTCTGTCCTACAGGCTTGCTGAGTCCAAGGTGGCTGGAAAGGCAGTAGGTTGGGTTGCTGTGGTTCCCACGTGGCTCATGGTCACAGTCTGACCTGTTGGGATCAAGGTCAGTGGACCTATTTATGTACAAGTCATGCCTGATGGCTCCCATGTTGACTCAGAGCAGGAGAGAGGAACAAAGCTCACTGTAGCTTCTCTTGGCAGCCCAAAAGTAAACACAAGTGGACCTTCACACCCCATGTTGGAGTCTGAACTGCCTCACCCAGTCGGCAGAGCTGTCTTCAGCATGCCCGTGGAGACAGTACTGGCTGTTAGGTGCTGCCAGGCCTATCTCGCTCACAGTGACCCTGTAGGGTTTTCTCTGCTGTATCTTTCCCAGAGCACATTGCCAGATCTTGCTCCTGCAGACCCTTTTCTCCTCCTTGGGTGGGCAGCCTAGCATTTACTCATTGTACCACTCCTAGGGGGTATGACAGATACTCAGAATTTTACCAAGCTCAGCCAGCCTACTGTTAGAAATGCAGCTGGCTTCTCTGAAAGCATCTAATTTTTAAAACTTACCAACATCTCCAGAGTAAAGCTAGACAGAAAGTGTCATTCTCTCCACGTTTCCAGTGACCACAGTCACGAGCTCTGGATGTTCTCTCCCCGAGGGACCAGAATACTGGCCGCAGCTCCCCTTTCCCTTCTGAGGCAAAGCTGTAGTCAGCCCAGAGCGAATACAAATGTGTTGTAAATTGGTGTTGCTGTTGTTGCGTGCCTGCAAGTTGGTTCTGGCTCATATCGACCCTGTATCAGTTTCCCGAGGAGAAACTGGTGGGTTTGAACAGCAGACCTCATGGTGAGCAGTCCAGTGCTTATTCTATAGTGCCACACCAGAACACTATGATTTGAATATGGGAGGCTAAATAAAAATGAATTCCTAGATTTTCTTCAGAAAAGAGTTAAGTATTTTAATTCAAGAAAAGGGAAACCAGTTGTTATGGGAAATGTTAATTCTCAAGTGTCTGAGTATTTCTTTAGCGCCTCTTGTCATAACTGCAGCTGGCGGTGGCATTTCAGTGGCCGCCATGATGGTCACTGGTAGGCTTTACAGACGTGCTGCATGCTGTTAAGCAAACACATGTATTCTCTGACAGTTTCGAAGGCTAGCAGTCCAAAGTCAGGGCACCAGCTCGAGGAAAGGCTTTCTCTTTCTGTGTGGGTTCACAGTTCAGGAGGACTGGGCTCCTCTTAGCATCTGTGGGCCCATGGTTCCTTGCCAATCTCCATGAGTCTTGGCATCTGTTTTCTCCTGGGTCTAGGAGGTTCGCACTGCAGGAATCCAGGCTGCAAAGGATGCACTTAACATTCCAACTTTTCTTTCTTTGCAATAATACTATGCCCCTCAGATCTCTGCTGGCTTGTTTAGTCTCTTTTATATCTCAGAAGAGATTGATTCAACAAACAACCTGCCTCATTAACATTTCTTCCTCTAATCCTACCTCATTAACATTACCCCCCTAATCTTACCTCATTAACATTTCCTCCTCTAATTCTGCCAATCCATTTTATTGGGGCTCTTCCTCTTTTTTGTGGACCCTCCACTTTATCAACAATGAAGTCCTTCTCCAGCAACTGGTCCCTCCTGACAATATGTCCGAAGTATGAGAGACGAAGTTTGGCCATCCTGGTTTCTACGGCGCATTCTGGCTGCACTTCTTCCTACACAGATCTGTTGGTTCTTTTGGCAGTCCATGGTACTTTCAATATTCTCCTTCAACACCATAACTCAAAGGCATCAATTCTTTCTTAAAATTTCATTCCATAAACAGCTTTATTATCTTCTTATTGTTTTAGAATTTTCTTGAGCTTGTAAAAGAACCTTTCAGAAGAAGTTCTTCATATTGTAAGATCAGGATCTCTAATGTTTCTTATCAGAGATGATGTGCAAGAAGCACTCTCACTCTTGGCTTCCTGAAAGTTTAGAGAAGTCATGTGGAGGAGAAGGCAAACACATCACATAACCAGAGAAGGCTGTAGAGCCAGGGGGACTGATGGCCTATTTCTTTTTTTTTTTTAAAGTTTTTATTGTGAATTGAGTGAAAGTTTACAGGGCAGGTCATCAGTTTCACATTCAACAGATCATATCCTTTGTTTAGTTACAATGATTATAATCTCCTACGTGTACCATCAGTTAACAGTATTTCTCTCTCTTCATTTTAGCTCTTTATTTTAAACACTCAAGCATATATAATAATTTACACCACCAAAGGACGCATTCTGCAAGTCTGCCTCCTGGCTGCCAGCTCTCAGTTCCTCTCTTCCCATAAATCTAGAGTCTTCAGCTTTTCCCTCTTTTCATATCCGCATCTCTGCCTCCATCTCTGGTGTCATTGCTTCTCTGGATAAGGTCTCACATTCCGCTTGTGCTCTTTTCCCTTGATGGCCCTAGGATCCTCTGTTTCTGGACTGTAAGATTAACTACTCCCCCACTTTTGTTCCAAAGCTTCTACCTTTACAATTGTGACAGTTGCAGTTAGTCATGATAACAATTACTCACTATTGAATCAATAAGAATCTTATTCCCATCTCTTTAAATGCATCAGTTCTTCTATGGTCTTTATTCATTGTCCAACTTCTGCATGCACATGAGGTTGTTGAAAATACCATGATTAGGGTCACGTCCCTTAGTCCACAACAAACTAACATCTTTGCTCTGGAACACTTTAAAGAGGTCTTGTGCAGCAGATTTTTCAGTGTTGCCCACCTTATTGGAATGGCCATTCAGTTGTGCCACGCACCTTTTCCATTACTATATTCAGTTAAGGGTCCAGTAGACCCCTCCTGCCACAGAAATAAAACAATCTACCAAGGATAGCCACAGCCTCTTGACTCAAATTTCCTTCCTTAGAGCTAAAGATGACGTCTTTAGAATCATATCAGAAGCTGACTAAGCCCCAAGATCTCATTATTTAGTTCTCCTTGGACCTCTCCTTTCACTGGGAGGTGGAGGGGGCAACAGACTTTAGAATTAGAAAAGGAATTAGGAGGGTGTTTGTCCTCAGCAGCAGCTGACATGTATGGACACCAAGAGCTCTTCCCATGTCTTTAAATACACAGCAAAGTTGTTGGACACTTGGACAACCACCGCAGAACATTCAGGAAGGGGAGGTAAACGCACTCTGGGCCTGGTGCAACCCACCCAGGGGGTTCCTGGGAAGCAGAGTGCTCACACGCTACTCACTCACAGAAGCAGTGTCTTTTGTACTAGCTGGGCAGTTTTCCTCCTGGGACTTGCTGACATATTGCTTTCTCCCACCTGCCTGTGACCTCACACTTACAGCCATGCCCACGTGGGTGGCCAGGTGAGATAACAAAGGCCTGGAGCCTCCTCCACTTGCTGAGAACGTTCTCTGGAATCTGGTCTCCCACCTCACCCACCCTGGGAGAGGCAGGAGACAGGCACAGGTGCTGGCCGCCTGGGGGAGGGACTGCACGACTATGGCCTCACAGCTCAGTGTGGTTGTTGCTAGGCACCAACTCATGGGGTTTGCTAGGCTGTCTTCATCATCAGGTCTTTCTTCCTAGGAGCTGTAAGTTGAACCCTCAGCCTTCGGCTAGAGGTTGAGTGTTTAACTATTGCATTACCATGGCTGTTTACAGCTTCACGTTGGGCTCTAGTTACTGTGTTCCCAGTTGCTGTCAAGTCCACTGCCTCCTGGCACCCCCGTGTATGTCAGAGTAGAAGTGTGCTGATCTTCAGAAGTCAATAGCCAGGTCTTTCTTTTGAGGTACCTCTGGGTGGTAAGCAGCTGAGACTTGGCACATTTGCACTGCCAGCATTGGGCTGTAGGGGAACTAGGGAACCCTGTATGGGACCATTCTGTCACTCTCCTGTAATCGTGGGCCTCTGGGCTGCATCTGGTTACATGCTCAGCTTCAAACCCATCCAGAGGTGCCTTGGGAGAAAGTCCTGGTGATCTCATTGGAAACTCTGTGGGGTATAGTTGCACTCTGACAGAGCAGGTCTGAGAGCATTTACACAGCCAGTCAACTGTCCATGAAGTACTGTCACCCCATTCAGTGACTTATGGTGTCACCAACCCCACCCCCCATGGACTTCCTCCCAGCCTCCCATGCTGGACCATGTGTCTTAGCAATCTTTATCAGAGTTGTTGTTGTTGTTGTTATGTGCCATCAAGTCGGTTCCGACCCATAGCGACCCTGTACAGGGTTTCCGAGGGTGTAAATCTTTACGGGAGTAGAAAGCCTCATCTTGCTCCCGTGGAGCGGCTGGTAGTTTCGAACCGCTGACCTTAAGGTTCACAGCCCGATTCGTAACCACTACGCTACCATGCATTCTAAATATAGGTGTAAATTGATTAAACTGAATATTTCCTAGATTATATGAATGTGGTTGTTGTTAAGTGCCTTAAGGTTTCCAAGGAGCAACTGGCGGATTTGAACTGCTGACCTTGTGGTTAGCAGTACAGTGCTTATCCTACAGGGCCAACAAAAGTCCCTTGTAAAACTTTTTTTTTATTTTTCTTTAAAATTTTTTTGTGTGTGAATTGAGTGATATTTTATATGGGAGAACATCAACTTTACACTCATTCTAATGTATTTCATTTCATTGCAGTGATTACAATCCCCTCCATGCATCATCATTCAACAGTATTTGCTTCTATTCCCTCTGGGGTTTTCTGTTTTGTTTTTGATGTGTACACCAAAACACTAGGGAAGATACAATCATTCAAACACCCAAAGGGCACACCCTACAAGCCTGCTCCCCGGCCACCAGCACACAGCTCCTCTCCATCCTTGAGTTTAGAGACCTCAGCTGCTCCATGTCTCCACGTCATTATCTCTGGCATCACTACTTCTCTGAATAGGGTCCCACATTTTCTCCCATTTTTTCCCCTTTATGTCCCAGGGTCCTCCGCTCCTGAACTATAGAATTAGATCAACCACTGCCCCCTTTTTGCTACAAAATGTCTACCTTTACATTTGCAACAATCGCCATTAGTCATGATACCAATTATTCACCTTTGAACCACATGAGTCTTATCCCCATCACCTTTCACCAGCTCCATCTAGACAGGTTGCAAGCCACTCAGTGGGGATTCTACCTTCCCCAACACCCTCTGGAACTAAACTCCCTCTTGAAAACTTGTAAGCCAGTCACTTCATGCCTTCATAGCCACACACACCCCATTTTAGGTAAGTAAAACCATTCTTATTGAACTATATTACTAATTACAACATTATTCGTGTTTGATTTTTCTCCTTTTCTTTAATTATTACTTCATTTTCAAAAAAGTTGTTGGTAGAGGTCCACAAATGCTATCACAGTGTTGTAGTGAAAACCATAGAACATGTCAGCACAGAACATGATGCAGTGTGGGCAGGCAGAACCGCGCACAAGTTGAAGCATCATTGTAACAGTGCTGGCAACAGTTGTGAGCCGAGTACATTAGAAGGTTCAAAACGAAAGTCAGCACAGAGTTTTAGCCTTGTAGGTGTATGGATGGGATATTTTATTAAAAACAAATTTCAGCAGAAATATGTATTTTGCAGTCATTTTGGTTTCAGACACCCCATCCCCATCAGTGTCCCTGCTATGAGGTCACTGGATGCTGTGCTTGAAGCATGGGGGTGCCAGGTCAGTGTGACACAGGATGTGTCACAGACCAAATCTGAGTGCAGGGAGGGACTGTGAGGCACGGTGCAGTATCTGCTAGCTTTCCTCACCTTTGGGGACAGCTGAGTGTGTTTCTGTTTTTAGGGAAAGCAGTAACTCCAAGTGTGAGGTGTTGGGTACTGGAGCTGGGCTCTCATTGGGAAGAGTTTGTGGTGGCAGTTTGGGGACATTAGGGTCTCCAGGTGAAGGCCAACTCAGGGGCCAAAGTCTTCATTGCTTTCATCCATCCTCCAAAGGCTTCATGCTGGCGACTTCAGTTACAGCAGCTAACCCATTAGGCCAGACCTTGGTTTATTGTGCTTGGCAGATACTGACTTATTTTTATACAAACTGAATGTTTGTGGCAACGGTGCCTGGAACAAGCCTACGGGGTTCTGGCAGCTTGTGCTCTGTCATATTTGGGTCATCTCACAGCTTCTTCATCCTGCTGCTGCTGCTGCTGCTGCTGGTGGCAGTGTGCCGTGGAGTTGGTTCTGACTCACAGTAACCCTGCACAGGGTTCCAAGGCTGTAAGTCCTTACGGGAGCAGAAAGTCTCATCCTTTGTCCACAGAAAGGCTTATAGTTTCGACCTGCTGACCTTGACGTTAGCAGCCTGACTCGTAACCTCTAGGCTACACTTACCAGTGTAGTGTGGCATTACTTAGATACGGACTTCGTTGTTGTTAAGTGCCGATGAGCTGGGATACTACCAGGAAAGCAGAAAATTCATGTGCCTAGCTTTATTTCAACCTTCACTTTATTGTGATGGTCCGGAACCACATCCACATCTCCAAGGTCAGCCTGTTGCTACCACTGACTAAGGCTGCTTTACTCTCACCTGGGAGCGTCAATCATTTACAGGCATACCCCATGGTGGGACTGTTCATACTTGTCCTTTGTTGTCATTATTGTGGGGCATCTCCAAGTCAATTTTGGCTCCTAGCAACCCCATGTGACAGAGTAGAGCTGCCTGTGGGGTTTCTAGGGTTCTGCTTTTACAGAAGCAGTGGGTGAGTTCAAACTGTAGGCAAGTGCTTAACCACTGCAACACTGGGATCCTTTATCATATGTTAAGTCCTCTCTAGCCAATTCTGATACACAGCAACCCTGTGTCGTGTTTCTAAGGAGTGGCTGGTGGGTTTGAACTGCCGACCTTGCGGTTAGCAGGCCCATGCTGATCCTACAGGACCCCCTTAGGTTGGTTCTGTTTATTGTACAGCTGATGGGTCTTCACGCTAGAGGGAGTGTGATCTGATGTGCTAAATTCCACACAGCAAATTGGTTTTTTTTCAAAGGAAACGTCTGGATTGGTTTGAAGAAAGATGAGGCTGCTAAAGAGCAGCACTCCTTTCAGTAATGATGAAAAGACTTGCGTCTGGCTTCTGCTTTCCGCATGTTCACGTCCCTGTCTCCTTTGTAGCTCTCTATGGTACCCTGTTTGAGAACAACAAGGAGGCCGCCTTCTCCAATTACCGTCTGTGGGAGGCCTTGGGAATGGTCATCGCGTTTGGATACAGCACGCACTTATGCGTCTACATCAAGCTCTTCATCCTCCTGGGAATCCTGATTGTGACCATGGTGGCCTATGGCACCGTTGAGTACATGGAGTCTAAGGCCCAAGCCAAGCCACTTCCAACAGAGGAGACCAACCAAGCACAGAACACAGAAAAACAAACTTACATGTGACAGCGTCAACCTTTGTGGCAGATGAACCAAGGAAATATGAAGACACGAGTTTTATCTGAAAAGGCCTCAGGAAACACAAGTGATCCTTCACAACTCTTTCAACAATATTTTGTCATTTTGAAGACTTTCTCTAATTTCCTTTTCTATGTGATGTCTGTTCTAACAAATGAACAGAGAGCAAAGGTTTCAAGTTAATTTCAGAGGCAAGCTTCTACAGGAGAAAGAAGCTCTGCTTACAAGGTTTCAATGAGAACTGACTTAGAATTGTCGAATTTTACCTGTTTTCGTTGTTGTTATAACTGTTGTTTTTTTAAAGTGAAATAATGCGTAAAATAATGTAGTCGAATACCACATTTCTACAGATGGGTAAACTGATGTCCACAGAAGGAAATTAATTTTACCTCACGAAGTCAAATGTGATGCAGCTGGGTCTAGCATTAATGGTTTTAAGATTATGATAGATGAAGAGTTTCTAAATAAATGCAGTTATAGTATGGACTTACATCTTGTCCAAATACTTTTACTCTAAATCCTCCTCTGCATAGCACACACAAAAATGATTTCATCTAATGAGTGAGTGATTCAAGGTGTTGCAGATTATTTGAGGCCCATGATTGTTGTTAGGTGCAGTCAAATCGGTTCTGACTCATAGTGACTCCATGCACAACGAACCGAACATTGTCCGGTCCTGCATCCTCACAATTGTTACAGTTGTGCCCATCACTTCTGCCACTGTGCCAATCTATCTCGAAGGGGGTCTTCCTCTTTTTTCTTTAACCCTCTGCTTTACTAAATAAGATGTCTTTCTCCAAGGACTGTTCCTCCTGATAACATGTCCCAAGTATAAGAGACAAAGTCTTGCCATTCTGGCTTCTAAGGAGCAATCTGGCGGTACTTCTTCCAATGCAGATTTATTTGTTTTTCTGGGAGTCCATGGTACTTTCGGAGTCCTGGTGTGGCACTGTGGGTTAATGCGCCAGACTGCAAAGCAGTTTGAACTGTAAGATTGGCGGTTCAAGCTCACCAGCTGCTCCTCAGAAACTTTATGCAGGGTCACTATGGGTCAGAATCGACTTAATGACATTTCCCAACAACAACAATGGTACTTTCAGTGTTCTTCACCAACACATTAATTCAAATGCTTCAGTTCTTCTATCGTCCTCCTTATTTGCTGTCCAACTATTGCATGCAGAGGAGACAACTGAAAAGTTCAAGGCTTGAGTCAAGCACACCTGAGTCCTCAAAGTGATGCCTCTGCTCTTCAACACATTAAAGAGGTCTTGTGCAGCAGATTTGCCTAATGCAGTACACCGTTTGATATCTTGACTGCTGCTTCCATGAGTGTTGATGGTGGATCCAAACAAAATGAGGTCTTTGAAAACTTTTTCTCCACTTATCTTGATGTTACTTATTGTTCCAGTGATGAAGAGTTTGTTTTCGTTACACTGAGGTGCAATCTATACTGAAGGCTGTGGTCTTTGATCTTCATCAGTAAGTATTTTAAGTCCTCTTCACTTTTAGCAAGCAAGGTTGTATCATCTGCATATCACGGGTTGTTAATGAGTCTTCCTCCAATCCTGATGCCATGTTTTATTTCATATAATCCATCTTTTTGGATTATTTGCTCATCATACAGATTGTATAAATATTATGAAAGAATACACACCTTTCCTGTTTTTAAACCATTCGGTGTCCCCTTGTTCTGTTTGAACAACTGGCCTCTTGGTCTATGTACAGGTTTCTCATGAGCACGATGAAGTGTTCTGGAAGACCCATTCTCTGCAATGTTGTCCATAGTTTTTCATGACCTGCATACTCAAAAGCCTTTGTATAGTCAATAAAACACAAGTCAACATCTTTCTAGTATTCTCTGCTTCCAGCCAAGATCCATCTGACCTCAGTAATGATATCCCTCATTCCATGGCCTCTTCTGAATCCAGATTGCATTTCTGGTAGTTTCCTGTTGATGTACTGTTACACTGTTTTAAAATTCTCTTCAGTAATGTTTTACTTGCTGGTGCTATTGATATTTTTTGATGATTTCTACATTCCAATGGGTCATCTCTCTTTGAAATGGGCACAAATATGGATCTTTTACAATCAGTTGTCCAGGTAGCTGACTTCCAAATTTCATGGCGTAGATGAGTGAGCACCTCCAGTGCTGCCCCAGTTTGTGACAGATTTCTAATTGTGTTCCATCAATTCCTGGTGCCTTGTTTATCGCCAATGCCTTCTTCATTGCAGCTCACACTTGACTTGTTCCTTTGGTACCATCAGTTCTTGATCATATGTTAACTCTTGAAATTGTTGAACATTAACCATTTCTTTTTGGCACAGTTACTCTGTATTTCCTTCCGTCTTCTTTTGGTGTTTTCTGCATCATTCAATATTTTGTTCATGTTATTGTTAAGTGCCATCAAGTTAGTTCTTACTCATAGCAATACTACATAGGGTTTCCAAGGAGAAGCTGGTGGGCTTGAACTGCTGACCTTGCAGTTAGCAGCCCAGTAGTTGCCCTAGAGTGCCACAACATTACTCCTGCAGCATTGCAATTGGACGCTTGGATTTTGTCTTCAGTTCTTCAGCTTGTGAAGTGCCGAGCATTTTCTAACTCCAGGTCTCTGCAAATTTCTTTGACTTTGCCTTCTTGAGGTGCCCTTTGAAATTTTGTATTTAGCTCTTTTACCTCATTTCTTCCATTTGCTTTAGTTTCTCTACGCTCAAGAGTAAGTTTTAGAGTCTACTTTTATCTTCTCTTTCTTTCTTGTCTTTTGAATGACTTTTGCTTTCTTCCTAGATGATGTTCTTGATGTCATCCCACAACTCTTCAGGTCTTCAGTCATTAGTGTCTAATGCATTGAATCTTTTTACGATGGTCTCTCAATTCAGGCTGGATATATTCAAGGTCCTGGAGAAAGATGAGGCTTTCTACTGCTGCAGAAATGTCTAAGCCTTGGAAACCCTATACAGGGTCGCTATGAGTGGGAACGAACTCCACTGCACTTAATAACAACAAGACATATTCAAGGTCATATTTTGGCTCTCATGGACTTGTTTAAATTTCCTTAAACTGTAGCCTGAACTTGCATAAGAGTGACTGATGGTCTGTTCCACAACCTACCCCTGGCCTTTTTTGGCTGATGATACGAAACTTTTCCACCATTTTTTCCCACAGATGTTGTCTATTTCCTTCCTGTATATTCCTTCTGGTGAGGTTCATGTGTATAGTCTCCTTTTCTGTTACTTAAATAAGTTATTTGTAATGAATAAGTCATTGGTCTTCCAAAAGTCTATCATGTAGTCTCCATCATCATTCCTAACACCCAAGACGTATTTTCCAAATGTTGATCCCTCCTCTTGGGTTCCAGTGGTGAGACTGGACCTCACCACTGGACCAATAAGTAACATTCTTATCAACGGAGAAAAGATTGAAGTTGTCAAGGATTTCATTCTTCTTGGATCAACTATCAACATTCATGGAAGCAACAGTCAAGAAATCAAACGACGTATTGCATTAGGCAAATCTGCTGCACAAGACCTTTTTAAAGTGTTGAAGAGCAAAGATGTCAGCTTGAGGACTAAGGTGAATCTGACCCAAGTTATGGTATTTTCAAAAACCTCATATGCATGTGAAAGCTGGACAGTGAATAAGGAAGACTGTAGAAGAATTGATGTTTTTGAGTTGTGGTGTTGGAGGAGAATATTGAAAGTGCCATGAGCTGCCCATAGAATCAACAGATCTGTGTTGGAAGAAGTACATCCGGAGTGCTCCTTGGAGGCCAAGATGGTCAAACTTCTTCTCTCATACTTCGGTCATATTGTCAATAGGGACCAGTCACTGGAGAAGGATATCATGTTTGGTAAGATGGAGGGTCAGAGAAAAAGAGGAAGACCCCCAATGAGATGGATTGGCCAAGTGGCAGCATTGATGGACTCAAGCGTGGCAACAGTAGTGAAGTTGGACCAGGATCAGCCATTGTTTCATTCTGCTGTGCATAAGGTCGTCATGAGTCAGTATCAACTCGATGGCACCTAACAACAACAACAGCAACTTGGGTTCCAATTTTTGGGTTCTAATCACCAGCAATTATCAATACATGTTGATTACATGCTTGACCAATTTCAAGCTTAAGAACTTGGTAGAAGTCTTCCATTTTATCACTTTAGTGTTTGGTGCATATATTTGGATGTTGTTGTTGTTGTTAAGTGCCGTCTAGTTTGTTCGGACCCATAATGACCCTGAATAGGGCTTCCGAGGCTGTAAATCTTTAAGGGAGCAGAAAGCCTCATCTTTCTCCCACAGAGCAGCTGGTAGTTTTGAACTGCTGACCTTGCGGTTCACAGCCCGATTCGTAACCATTGCGCTATCAGAGTTGTTGTTAAGTGCCATCGAGTCGGTTCCGACTTAAGCTGACCTTAAGGTTCGCAGCCCGATTCGTAACCACTACGCTACCAGAGCTCCTTACGCTATCAGAGTAGTGGTATTAACTTGTCTTCCTGTAGGCATATGGATATTATCTCATCAAAGTCTCCAACTGGCTGTCACTCGGGGTGGGAGAGGTGGGGGTACCCCACTCCTGTCTGTGCCACCTACAGACAAACCTGCACCCTGAGGTCCCATCTGAGGTGGGTCCCACTCCAGTACAATGTGACTTGAAAATTGTTTTGCATTGAATTGTGTTCACTCACAGAATTTATGTTGATGCCCTAATCCCCAGGACTTCAGAATGTTTGGAAAGAGGGTCTTTGATGGTAGTATTAGTTAAAATGAGGCCAGGATGGGTCCTTAGAGATGCAGAGATGAACCTGGAAGACTCCAGGTGAAGATGGAAGTGGAGACTAGAGTGATGAAACCACAGGTCAGGGAACCCTGGGGCCTTCTGAAGCAGGAGGGACAGGAAGAGCCTTCCTCAAGTGGCTTCGGAGAGAGTATGACCCTGTGTACACCCTAAACTTGGAGGTTATAACCCTCTGCTCTTGTATGCCCTCCAGTTTGTGGT